TTGGCGTTGTCGTGGAGGACGATGGCCCCTTGAATCGATTGATCTCGTCTTTTGTGGCGATATGCAGCCCTCATCTCGTTCAACGTCTCGTAGTAGTAAGCAGCAATGATTGTTGCGTCGCTCGTGCAAAAAAAAACAATAAGAAAAGTGCCTCGCTGGTCGAAAAAAAGTCTTAGCTTTCACTGGCTCTTTCCTCCACCACTACATACTGGATTGTTTCGACTCAAAAATGCATCATCCTATTTCGCAAACTTTGCTATAAACCTTTGACAGACCTCCAAACGTCTCCACTTCAGATTTGTAGTCAAACGGCGAGGGACCCATCTGGCACACACTTTACGGAATCGTCTATGATGATCGCTTGACAGTTCCCACAACTTATTCGGACCTGTTCCACAATTTTGGATACCGAGGACGGTTATAGTGTTTCTGATTTTACACTCATTCTTGACCTTCCTTGAACTCTTTATGCCAGCAAACACACGAGTCCTTGACAATGTTTGGTCCCCGAATTGTGCAGTCAATCTCCGTCGCTTGAATTCCTTCACGGGCAAAAAATATTATAATTTTGAGTTGCTCAGTGGATGCACCTATTGCTCCGACATCGTGAGTATTATAGACGAATTGGTTGGGAGTGTGGAATGGCCAGCTCTCCGCACTCCTAATGACCCCACATTTTATTTTGATATAAACAAATGTCTTTTCACATAACCAAATTAAATGAAAAACATATTTATTGTATCACATTTTATTTACTTTTTCAACTTTCTTATTTATAGTTTAAACTTACTAGAGGTAGGTATGCTTTGCCCAATCACTTATTTTTTAATTATAACCCCTGCAAAATTTTCATTTTGATGCCAATAAAACACACTCTTAGTCAAAGTTTGTATCCTAATATTTAGGGTAGGCCATTTTAAGTAATAGAATATCAGGCACACAAAAAAGTTCAAACCCAAACATCTGATATACCGTAGTCAGAATGTATGCACAACCGGCCAGCATCTTGTAAATTCCATATTTAGGGTGAAAACGTACCCAAAAATCGCTCAATTTGACCAAGTGAGAAGTCTTTGCTATACTCAGCCTAACGAGATTATGGTTAATCATTGTTTCTAAAGTAGGTATCTTACTCTTTTGTTTTCAAATGATGTGTGAAGAGGATGTCTTTCGTTTTTTCGTCTTTAGTTTCCGGTATATCCCGTTTCAGATTCCAACAATAGTCAGTCACGCGGTATTAACAGTACCTGAATTTAATGTGGTTTACATAGATCCTAAACCATGAACGGATAGGGACAATTTAAAGAGAGGCAGACCTAATTTATTACTACAGTCTCGCTTGATAAATGAAGTTTNTTTTACATTAATATTGGTAAAAGGGTAGTTTATAAGAGTTGAAAATGGCAAAAGTAAAATATTCTTTCATAAACAATATAAGGGAATCTTTATTTTAAATTATTGCACAATTATAGCATTTCAAGATTTAAAACGTAATTTTTTATCATTTTTTTAGCACAGGGGTGATTTATAAGTGTTATGAGATCCAAAATCCTTTCATAAGCAGTGAGGGAATTTTTATTTTAAATAATTGCACCATTAAAGCATTCCAAGCTTTTAAAAAGTAATTTTTTATCATTTTTGTCAATACAGGGGTGGTTTTTAGGGGTTGAAAGGGAAACATTTTTTTATTAGCTACAAGGTAACTTTTATTTAAAATAATTGCACGATTTAATCATTCCAAATCTTTAAAAAGTATTTTTTTATCATTATTTTTTGCATAGGGGTAGTTTCTAAGGGTTAAATAACGGGTCGAAAAGATCAAATATATCATAAAACATGTTCGAGAACATGGAACATTATTTAATCTTTGTGCTTGAACAAGATTTTTATCAATAAAATGCTTAAAACTTAACTTTTTCAATTTTTTTCACTTAGGGGTAGTTTTTACCCCTAAAAACAAAAAGCGTCAATCGAGCTTATGTCACTTTTGAACTTGAGCCTAAGATGAGCCTTATTCTAAATTTTCATGCAAATCCATGCAGTTTCAAAGAATTCGGAGGTTACAGCTGATTTTCAGCTTCATTGACTGTACTAACGTGACTTTTTTCAACTATGTACTTGTTGAACAATTTTTAAAAATTTTGCGTTGGTTTAGTACCCGTTGGATTAGATAAATATATGTATATAATGCTATGTGGGAAGACAAATTAAATGACCCTCTCACAAATTTCGACATTTGATGGCACTTATCAGCGCCGTGTCCTCATTAGTAGCGATAAAAGTTCTATTTTGTAGAATTTGACCTCGCAAAGATAAATTCTATTACAGAAGTCTTCGATTAGAATTGTTAAATTTTAGATATTAAAAAATTCGGAACAATTACGTTTTATGGATATTTAAATGTATTGTGTAACTAGTTTTCAACCGAACCCTTTGCACTGACTAAAAACACTCGAGTTCGATTGTATACCTACGCCGATGTAAGCTTTAGAAGCTGTTAATGAATAGGCCCATTCAGTGATATTTAATTTTAAACTTTTTCTTTCATTTTCTGATAGTATTTAACCACCTAAATATATCTTAAAAAAATTAGGTCAATAGGATTAATAAGTGATATATTTAATTCTGAATTTGTAAGACCTTTAAAAAGGTCAACACTGCGAGAGAACAGGTAATGACGTCACGATACCGGCCACTCGCCAGCAGTCGGAGAGATAAATCTCATTTTATACGGCTTCTAAGAAAGAGACGACAGTCTGTTTTCGGCTGCCTCGTCTAAACTGATGTGTAGATATTTGCTATACTTTTACCTATATTATATATCTATATTTTTAAGTGTATAAATAGAAAGTGTATAAGAGATATACATCAAGTCTTGTTGAAATGCATTTTTCACACAACATATTTATTATAAACATAGAATGTCTTGGAATATCTAAATACATTTTCGGATTTTTCTCAATGACGTAATTTTGCCTTCCATTTTGTGTACAAATGTACCCAACGTACTAGACTCGGTACTTGTGGATGTATGCGACGACGTGTATGTGCGAGCAACTCAGAACCACCCTCGTTTTTCTTTGATTGCCCGTCTATATTATTATTTAAATAAATTACTTATAGGTGCCTCTCGCAACGTATTTCGAAATTTTTGTGGACGGGAACGTTTAGATGGGGTAGAATTTATTTTTTCGACATAAATTTGAAAATTCTGCTCTAAATGTTTAAATAATAATATTTATAACCTCTTAGACGGGCAACCAAAGAAAAACGAGGGTGGTTCTGAGTTGCTTATAGGTCCCTCTCGCCGACGTATTTCGAAATTTTTGTGAACGGGTACGTTTAGATGGGGCAGAAATTTTTTCCAGCATAAATTTTATAATTCTGCTCTAAATGTTCAAATAATAATATTTAAAACCCTCTAGATGGAAAACCAAAGAAAAACTAGAGTGGTTCTTAACTGCTTATAGGTCCCTGTCGCCGTCGTATTTCGAATTTTTTGTGAACACGAACATTTAGATGGGGCAGAATTTATTTCCGGCATAAAGTTGAGAATTGTGCTCTAAATGTTCAAATAATAATATTTTACAACCCCCTAGACGTGCATCCAAAGAAAAACGAAGGTGGTTTTGAGTTGCATACCGTGGCTGGGGAAACCGTGGATAACATCACACAAACTTTTCATTTTTCGGTAATGAAATAAATATTTTATTCGGAGTCGATCCTGAGGTACTTTTGCAGCCTGGAACTATACAATATTTGTACAATCCTCGGTTTCGACCCATTTAGACATAAAAACAATAATTAACGAAACTGCGAATCGATCCACATATCGTATGTATTAACACAGAATGGGAAGAGAGCGAGCGTGAGCGGAGTGCTCTATTATGACGTCAGGCAATGGTTGCTCAACGTTTTTCCGCGCTCTGTTTTCATTAATTTATTTCACACATTTCTCGTTGAAACAAAAAATTGATTTTTGGCATACTAACTAATTAAAGGGTAAACTTTTGGAATATGCAAAAAAAATTCTACTGAATGGGCCTACAGCAGCCTGAAAGCTGTGTGTGAGCGTTGCTCTCGGTTTGGTAATTTTTATGAGGTTTAAAAATCCATGATTGTTGATTTCATAAAACGCGATGGTTGTAATACAATAGGAATCCTTGAGATTCCGTCGAGTACACACTTTGGCCAGGAATACATGCTCTGGTTATGTTGGATTGCGCTAATGAGTTGTAAACATTTAGGTCGTGCTGCATGCATGCGCTGGCCAGGCACCCGTACTCTGGTTAATAATCAGCGTTTTACCACACCCCTCTTTATATCAATATGATTATTTGAGTTAAAATTTTAGTGGGTTATTTTTCTATAAACACTTTCTCAATAGTTGCCATTCTTTTTCTCTCTATTTCCAAAGTAAATTTCTTTGTGGTTCCTTGCTATTAATATTATCGAAATATATATTTAACTCCTCAAAATGCCAATTTGCAAAAATATCGTCTACACATCTCCACCAAACAGAGGACTCTTTATTTATGTTGTTAAAATAGTTCTCTTCAAAGAGATCTCTACAAGTATAACTTAAAATTGGTGATTTTCATGAAATTCATTATTTAAATGAAAATATGTACATTTTATACCTAAACCTAATAATTACATAATAATAATAATTCCACTATTTTTGATAATCAATATTTTATCTACTGGAACTTTAGCAAATAGACTAACTACATCAAAACTCACCATTAAATTACCAGTATTAAAATTATTTATAGAAAGTTTTTCCAAAAGATGTAGGTACATACCATATTTAATGTATGAAACATACTATTTAAATAAACGAAGGTTTATGAATATAATACATTCTACCTACCGTTAAAAAATCCACCCCATGTTAGTAAACACCCTGTATTTGCTTAAAATAAGTTAAACGGAATTCAGTACTAACAAATAGACGAATTAAACATTGAATATGACATTAATGAGTTGTATCTTTGCAGAAATGTACGGGATGTCAGAACGCCTACAAGTGCAACTGTACAGGCATCAAGGGGAGGCAAGGGGAAGAGGGTATCCGAGGTATGGCTGCTCCTCCAGGTGAACCCGGAGATATTGGTTACCCAGGACCTCCAGGACCAAAAGGAGAGAAAGGAGCAGACGGAGAGTACGGAATTATTGGAGATAGAGGATTTAGGGTACTATAGAAGATACCTATATCTTTTTCGTTTTTTGCTCATTGAAACCTCTGTTTTAGGGCGAGACAGGGTATCAGGGCATGACGGGACTTGCTGGAAGATCTGTAAGTATTCCGCATAATATTTAACATCATTGTCAACTTTTTTCCTGCCATGTGTTTTATTTCTTTTTACTCATTAGCGCACGATAAACACTTCCGACAGACGCTTTTGTTAAAGAATTGTACATTGCTTATCTGATCAGTTAAATTAAGTATTTTAGGATCACCTTAATGATCAGATTGGCTACTAACACCCATATGATTACTTTTTGGAATAACAAATATGTGAAAATTAATGTCTCTCCCACTTGTACTCTTATGACAAACACACTGTCAAGACTCAGCTGTCAACTACGACAGAGTTTCAAGAACTCGAATCATGCAGTCGTCGTAAAAAGTAGTAAAAACTATGGATTAATTTATGTATGACCCTATTGCCGACTATTTTGGCTTTGGGGTATATACGTAACCTCAATAATTATTTCATTAGGGTATCCCAGGAGAATCTGGGTATCGAGGACCTCCAGGTCTAGACGGCTGTAATGGAACTGATGGTGCGCATGGAGTTCAAGGTATACCAGGACGACCAGGAATCAGGGGTTTACCTGGTTCAGAAGGATCTCAGGGACCCCAAGGAGAACCAGGTGATGGTGGTGGGAACTCTCCTGGAACTAAAGGTGACATAGGTGTTGGTGGATATGATGGTCAACCTGGTATATCGGGGCTTCAAGGACCCAGAGGCCCTCCAGGATATAGAGGACCTCCAGGAATCCCCGTAAGATTTTCCTTTTCAATGCACAATTGACTCTATAATTTCCTCGATGATGTAGGGTATAGGTGGTGAAGCGGGACCTCGTGGCCCTCCAGGTTCTCCTGGAGAACCTCGCTATGGACCGCCAGGAGAATCAGGTGACCAAGGAGAGCAGGGACCAAAAGGATTACCGGGACCAAGTGTTCCACCACCACATGAAGGTCCGCCTGATGATTTTGCAGAACAAGGACCTCCTGGGGAGAAAGGAATGAGAGGAGAACAAGGACAAAAAGGATGGAAAGGTTACGTAGGAGATAGAGGCACTCCGGTATGTATAAAAAATTACAGAAGTGTTGATTCTAGAGTAAACATGTCTTCAACAGGGCCTACCAGGGAACAAAGGGCAACAAGGTTTTAAAGGAGAAGAAGGAGAAGATGGACAATACGGAAAGCAAGGTCGTCCCGGACCTTCTGGGCCTAGCGGCGAGAAGGGCGATAAAGGAGCGCCTGGCTATGAAGGACGGGCAGGACTTGACGGAGAAAAAGGATACCCTGGTGAACATGGGTCAGCGGGAACCCCGGGAACTCAAGGAAAGGAAGGCCCACCTGGCGTTTATGATCCCACATACGATGAAGCCGGAAAAGAAGGAAATGTAGGAAGGCAAGGTCCTGATGGTCCCCTAGGTGAAAGAGGGATAGCAGGAACTCCTGGCCGACCCGGCCAACCTGGGCCAATAGGGCCTCCGGGTATTCCCGGCCCACCTGGTCGAAATGGTTTGCCAGGTTTGAAAGGAACGTCTGTAAAAGGAGAACGCGGAAGCGATGGTTTGCCAGGCCGACAGGGAAAAACGGGTCCACCCGGACTTCCTGGAGCATCTGGTCTCATTGGAGAAAAAGGACTTAATGGTGAAACCGTAATCGGTCCACCTGGTTCAGCGGGTATTCCTGGACTGCCAGGATACAATGGGCCGCCAGGTGAACGCGGGGATACCGGCGATTATGGTCCCAAAGGATTTGCAGGCATCGGAAAACCTGTAAGGGGACCACCTGGAGATGCCGGTCCTCAAGGTCGTCCAGGACTTCCCGGAGAGCCTGGCCAGCCAGGATATGATGGCTTTCCAGGATTAAAAGGAAGACGAGGAGACGATTGTGGCGTTTGTCGACCAGGTGCGTACCTATTTCTTAAAATTTAAGATACTGAGCCATCATTTCGCATGTCACAGACACGATCCGTTATTACCTGATAATACAATGCCATCATAAATGCCTTTGGCAATGATTAACACAAAATTCCCTAAAGACAGTGAAGTACAAATTACTTTTCTCTACAAATACTGAATTTTAATCTGTAAAATGTTTCTTTTTTAATAATTTTTTACATTTTTACTGAAATAGTATATTACGTAATAAGTGTTGTAAAAAGCATTTTATGCACGAATGGAAAAGTTACGCACGATGCCGCGTAGCGGCGAGTGCGTAATTCCATTACACTACATATTACGTACTATACTTTACCTACGACCTACTTATTCACACAAAATTATTTAGTTTTAGTTCTCCATCTGAACTGGTAACAATATCAATAATTTAATAATTTAATAACTTGATAACATCAACATCAAATTACTATGAAATTGACCAAAGTGGGATCAATTCAAGAGCGATTTTCTCAGAAACCGTTAAAGATAACGATTTAAAACAAGAGTACCTTTTTAACGTAAAACAGTTCGGGAAAACGGAATTTGCTGTCCAATTTGTTAAAAAGTCGAAGATGAAAAAGTTACACACGCAAAGTACCAAGGGCCCCCCCGTACCCACCCCAATGGACCTTGTGGAAATAAATGGATTAGTCCATCAAATTGCTCATCAAAATTTAGCTGTGTATACCAAATTTCATTCATTTATCACAACGCGATTGAGAGATATTGCAAAAAAATGATTTCCATTCCTCCCTCTTCAATGGGTCCCTGTGCCCTTAGGAAGCATTTCTGGACCCATGTTCATATGAACTTTTTTACTTAGTTTTGATCATAGAATCGGCCTGTTCAGGGTTGGCAGCTAATTATGAGACATCTTGTATAGTTTAGAAAAAAAGGTAAATTTGGAGCTGTATTTACTGCAGAGCGAAAGTTTGTATATTTTTTAACCTTGAGGTAAAAATATTCTGATACCACCAAAGAACGTTGCCGTACAGTTTTTGAATTGGGAATATTAATAATTAGATTCTTCCCTGTGTCTTGAATAGCTGACGGTTTTAGGTATATTACGTAACTCTTGTTTCCTGCACGCACCGCTTATACCAATTATAAGAGCAACCTAAAAGACGATTTGAAATAAATTTACATATCTAACATTATATTGAGNATTACGTAACTCTTGTTTCCTGCACGCACCGCTTATACCAATTATAAGAGCAACCTAAAAGACGATTTGAAATAAATTTACATATCTAACATTATATTGAGCTCAATATATTGCCTCCATAAACAAATATTTATCATCTGGTGCGTTTTCTAGAAAATCGTTTATATTTTTGCTTGTCAAAATCTTGGATTTTTTGGATTTAAAGCCGTCCGATTTTCGCTTCAGGAGAGTTTTGTAATTTGGAGTAGTTTGCAATATCGACATTGTGATTTATATTAATTGTGTCCTTTAACATTGAGTAAAATAACCAAAGTGAGGAAGGCTTCATAGTTTTTGATAGTTCTTGGAAATATGCCATCATTATACATTCTCGGAAAATGATTTAACGTCGTTTTTAACCTCCATTCCATAAATCTTTGGGAAGTAAATTTGTATCGATATTCAGATTTCGCCGGTAACAAGTTGTTTTTAGCAGCTTCTGCAATTTCACTAATATTGAGTAGAGTTCAGTTTTTGAATAAGTTTGTTTGTATTGACCGTTGCTAGACGGTTGCTAGGAAAACTGCACGATTATTTTACCAAGCTGAGCGATTTTTTTACCGTACGTAATAGGAATCTTACATTGATCGCAGACGGTGTGTTTTAACTATTTTCTGATTGAAGAAGGTTGTCCCTTAAGAAATGTAGGTTCTTTTGTAATTCACTTTCATTCAGAGATAATGAAAATAGTGTTAATAAAAAACGAAAAAATTTAGTGCTTTATTAATTTTTTCTTCAATATTTAAAATTTAAATATAGGTAAATTAATTTACCTTACAATGCTTACATCAACACAACGTTTTTACTCAACTAACAAAAACTTGTTACATTCATAATAGATGTTCAAAATGACCATCTTCGTTTTCCAAACATAAATAACTGCGTTTCATGCGCTAAAAACCTGTTGGTTTATTTGGTGGTTTATTTCACGTTGAACTGTTGCTTCTAGGTCTTCAAGTGTGTGTGTTTAAATATATATTTTTATATATGGCTAAACAGATAAAATTTTAAGGTGTGAAATCAGGGCTTCCAGCAGGCCACAAACTCTTAGTAATCAATCTTTTTGTTTATCCGCAGGTTTACCTGGACAAAAGGGAGAAATGGGTGACGCGGGAAGAAACGGTCGCCCGGGACCAATTGGATATGAAGGATTGCCCGGACCTCGAGGTCCAACTGGCCCAGACGGCAAACCTGGGCCTATGGGCAAACCTGGATTGGACGGTACTCCAGGCACTGATGGCATGCAAGGCTTACCTGGACAAGATGGCCCGCCAGGACAAGTAGTTGGATTGTCATTAGTCAATCTTACTGAAAATGGAGACAAGGGCCAGAGGGGTTTTCCTGGCCCAATGGGATTTGATGGCCTACCCGGCCCTCGAGGTCCTATAGGGGATTATGGGTTACTTGGACCTAAAGGTATCATTGGAGATTTTGGTGAACCCGGTTTGAATGGGAGGGATGGAGTACCGGGTGTTCCGGGATATCCAGGAGAGAAAGGAGAACCAACTATGATACCCAAAGAATTTGTTCGAGGAGATGGAGGACCTAAAGGATTCAGGTGAGTATTTTATCATTTCTAATGCGTTATAGTAAAATTTGGTCTGTTTCAGAGGAAACAAAGGTGAACCAGGAAGACCAGGAGCACCAGGACTACCTGGAATAAGCATTGGAATTGAAGAACACATTATTGGCGACAAAGGAGACAATGGCGAACCAGGTTCATCAGGTATGAATAGTGCAAAAAAATATTACCCAAAACCTTACCATCATGATTTTTCCTTCAGGCAATAAAGGTCAAAGAGGTCCTAAAGGGCCCAAAGGTGCTGTGGGATACCCAGGTCTACAAGGTTTGCCTGGTGCACAAGGAACAAGCCTACAGGGCCCCGGAGGCGTAAAGGGATACCCCGGAATACCAGGAGATCAAGGTCCTAGAGGACCTTTTGGCACACCAGGTATACCTGGTATTGACGGAATTCCTGGAAGTATAGGAATTAAAGGAGAACGAGGAGACCATGGACTTAATATACTAAATGGTGTAATTGGTCTACATGGTTCAGCGGGCCCTAAAGGCGAACCCGGTAACTTTGGCCCTGATGGATATCCGGGATTATCTGGTCGTCCGGGAATTAAAGGGATAAAAGGAGGCAAAGGGGCTCCTGGACACTCTGGTTTGCCGGGATTGCCGGGAGCAAAAGGTCTAAGAGGAATTTCGCTACCAGGACCACCTGGCAGATCAGGTTCTCCTGGTCAACCAGGTTTTTCAGGACAATTCGGAGACATCGGTCTGAAAGGAGAAGACGGAGTACCGGGATATCCCGGATTACAGGGCGCCAAGGGGGAACCAGGATTGGAAGGGTTAAGAGGCCCGCCAGGTAAAATTCATCTTTTAAAATTGTATTGAAGTACATAATGTTCGTATACATTTATTTCCAGGCGATGAAGGTCCTACTGGATTTACCGGATATAAGGGACGATCAGGTTTTCCAGGAGTTCCCGGTCCCATTGGCGAGAGAGGTGACTTAGGTTTCCCAGGAAGACCTGGACCTCCGGGACCAAAAGGTCTCCTCGGACCAATTGGCAGAAAAGGAATAAGAGGAGACGCTGGTTTACGTGGAGCACCTGGATTTGAAGGAGAACCCGGCTTACCTGGTTTTAGAGGCAATCGCGGATTGCCCGGTATAGACGGAGAAAAGGGAGATTCTGCTTTTAGTGGTGAAATGGGCGAACAAGGTGAACCAGGCTTTATCGGACCACCTGGATTTGATGGAAGACCCGGATTGCCGGGCTTACCTGGACTGGTCGGTGATGCAGGAGAGGATATTGTTGGACCTCCTGGCTTTAAAGGAGAGATAGGCGAACCTGGAAGACCTGGCTTCCTTGGATCACTAGGTATAAAAGGAGAAAGAGGGGATACAGGATTCGAGGGCGTTCCCGGTGAACCAGGAGAAAGAGGTGTAAACGGTTATCCTGGCACCGCCGGTGTAAATGGTATACCTGGACCAAAAGGAGAGAGAGGTGACAGTGGAAATCCAGGTTTTGATGGCATCAAAGGAGAACAGGGTATGGAAGGTGAACCTGGGCTTATGGGAAGACCAGGTATGCCAGGAGAAATTGGATACCCAGGCATGATAGGTATTCCCGGCAATAAAGGGCCAAAAGGAAATCAAGGTTTGCCCGGCCATGCACCTTTTGCTGTTACCGCTCCAAAGGGAGACGCTGGAGACTTGGGTATGCACGGTTTATCAGGTAAGAGTACTCATTCCCTATTTTATGATGAATTTAACACATTTAATCATGTTCAGGATTCAAAGGTGAACGTGGGGATGACGGACCTCGAGGCTTACCAGGACCTAAGGGTGAAAGTGGTATATCAGGATTCCCAGGTTTACAAGGAGAACCTGGATATCCAGGATTAAAAGGTATTCACGGAGATAATGGACCACCAGGACCTCGTGGTTTACCCGGTCAAAATCCTGAGCCTGGAGAACCTGGACGGCCTGGATTTGATGAATTACCAGGTCGACCTGGTAGACCTGGACAAAAAGGAGCACCTGGAGAAGTAGGTTTCGATGGGCCACCTGGACGTGCTGGTATCCCCGGAATACAAATGCTTGGAATAAAAGGAGAAAAAGGAAATGATGGATTCCCAGGTTATCCAGGAACACCTGGTCCAGCAGGTAGACCAGGACGAGATGGACGACCGGGGCGACCTGGACGTAAGGGTCTTCAAGGGGACTACGGATATGCTTCCATAAGTTTCAAAGGAGTCAGAGGTGATGTTGGTTTTAGAGGAGAATCAGGCTACAATGGTACAAAAGGCGAACGCGGTGAACCTGGACTAGACGGTTTACCTGGAGAAATCGGACCAACTGGAGAGAAAGGTTTCCCTGGAGATCGAGGCCTATCTGGTATTCCTGGATTTGATGGAATTAAAGGAATTAAAGGAGATATGGGAGACTGGGCTTTAGATGCTTTGCCCGGACCACCTGGAGATGACGGTTTACCAGGATTCAACGGAGTCCCAGGTGCGATAGGTTTACCAGGACTTAAAGGTTTACCCGGCGTTAGTGGACGAAAAGGAGAACGAGGAGATACAGGGGAGCCGGGGCTTCCAGGATTTAACGGACTCAAGGGAATGCAAGGAGATGTCGGTCTTAGAGGACGAATTGGATTGCAAGGTTTAAGAGGGCAAAAGGGATACAAAGGTGAAGATGCACCACAACCTGCAGGTCCCAAGAGTAGAGGTTTCTATTTCACGAGACATTCTCAAGCAGAAATTGTTCCCATTTGTCCTAAAGATACCGTCAAACTATGGGACGGTTACTCTTTATTGCACATTATGGGTAATGAAAAGTCGCATGGACAAGACTTAGGTAAGTTTCGTTATTTCAAGCAGTAAAATGTTTTTTTTTACATTATGAATGTTTAATACAGGTGCTCCAGGCAGTTGCTTGAGAAAATTCAATACGATGCCATTCTTATTCTGTAATCTGAACGACGTCTGCGATTACGCGCAAAGTAACGAATACAGTTATTGGTTATCTACCACCGAACCCATGCCGATGATGATGACCCCCATATACGCCAACGAAGTGCAAAGATATATCTCGAGGTACAATTCGCTATGTTAATAATAAATATGGAAACCTAAAGTTTAATTGTTCTTTCAGATGCTCCGTGTGCGAAGCTCCAACTAGAATCATAGCGATTCACAGCCAGACCACAACAATTCCACAGTGTCCGAATGGATGGGATGAACTGTGGGTCGGTTACAGTTTTCTGATGGTATGTATACAGATGTTTATACTTGCCTTCATAAATGCCTGAGTCCCACGTGACCGCCACTGTTAGATAACCAAACTTACACTGGAGACAGTGATTAATACAAAATTTCCTTAAAGGATGTTTACATATCATTTTTATATTGCCAAACAGATAAAAATCTATCTATATAGTTTCTGCTGCAGTGTGTGCCATAGCTCCATCTTCTTGAAAATATCCATGCTACAGTTCATCATCATGCATTAATTCCAGGGCTTGTAAAATGTTGCAGTCGTTCTCCATTTATTACTTCTCGAAATTGGACCCTATTATCCATCTTCAATTGGGTCCGTTATCCATTTTGAAACTACTACCCAGATACCTATCTTCTGAGGATGTAATGTTTCAATACAATTATGTGAATTTTCTGCAGCTCAAGTTCTATAATGCTGATTATTTACATAACCAGATAAATGTATCCATATCTCATCGGAATAAAATGTCAGCTCTAATAAAATATCGTCCTTTAAATATTCATTAAACCATCGACAATATTACACTCGTTAATTGTGATCAGGAGGACATAACACTTGCATACACAGTTTCTTCTTTAATGCTTTGTGACAATCCTCAACTTAAGGACATCCATATTATCAATATAATATGTACAATTATTTCTTGTAAATATACAAATTAACAGCATAAAGCTGCAAGATATTTCGCATCGTTCGTTGTCGAATATTAATATTTACTGTTAAAATAGTAGGTCTGCCTGTAGACTTGCCCTTGCAATTGCATTGTTTTTCCTCATATCTTTTAAAAAGGATTAATTTGTAATTTTTAAACACATATACAATAGTAGCATCAGGTAAGGTTTCAACAAATTGTTCCATGGAGGATTGTAAAGTGTAAGACCAGCTTCCATTTGCACTGCAAAAATGTGCCATCAAAATATAAATGCGTCTTATTCCGATGTAAACGGCATTTTTACACAAATGTACAAGAAATACGAATGTAACAAATGAAACATAACCTTAAAATATTCGTTTAAATTACGGAAAAACTGATTAGAACTATTTTTTCAACTCAACAAAGGTAATTTTTAGAAAAGCACAGAAATACTGATAAACACTCCTAAATTTTACAAATAATAGACATAAAAACACCAAAAATTACGAACGTCTGGATTGACAATATTGACATTTAATCTAGGGTCCTATAGTCTGTTTAGAAATGAAAGAGAGTAATAAAAACTTATTACGTATGCAAATCGTGAATAAATGTAGTACTGGTGCTTATATTCAATATTTTTATGTTATATCGGTTTGAGGTGTATTTTTAAAAAAACTTTGTGCCATCGGACTGTACTAAATTGTAGCAGGTAGCTAAAATTTAATCCCCGACAATCCGTCTTTGTCTATGCCGCTTCAATTTCTCGGTCTATTTCTCTTATAAGTAAACAATATAAAAACAGCATTTCAAAACATGAGGCTACTTTCAGCATCATAACCGGGTTAAGAGGGTTTTTAGTAATTCAAATAAAATTATTCAATATTATTATCAAAATATTTATTTAAATTAAATGAATAGACTTTTATTCCACACAAAAATATATGTATTTTGAAAATTCAAATTATGGTGAGTAAATGTAGTGTTGTATAAATGTACAATAAAGAAAATAAAAAAGTAGGTATATTAAAATTCATCCTCTGAATATTCTGATGAATTATCTTCGTCTCCTAGATTGATAACGATAGGTTCCACAGTAACGTCAATTAAATTATCGAGTTCCCACATTTTCTTCTCTTCTTTTTGTACATGATGTATACATCTTTTCCAGTTATCTGCAGTTACTCGTTCCAAGGAATTTTTTAACAAAATTTTCACGTCACTTAATTTAAACGTCGTATTATTTCGCGCTACATCTCGTTTTACCTGCGCCCAGACTAATTCGATTGGGTTAAGTTCACAGTGATAAGGTGGTAACCGTAGTACCGTTATTTGGCGATTTGTTGCCATTTCATCGATAACATATTTTTTCTGATCTTTATTAAGATTGACAAGTGTCAAAAGTTCCTTTTTCACCATATTTGTTTCAAAAGAAATGTTTTCTCCGGATAACCATTGAATTATATCGGCTTTCCTCCAAGCAGTCGTAGGCGTCCGCTCGGTCTGCCGTGAATGGTAACTGGCATTATCCATGACAATTACAGACCCCGGAGGAATAAGATCCAACATCTGTGTAAAATACTCTTCGAAAACATCTGCGTTCATGTCTTCGTGATAGTCACCTGTATTTTTAGATTCAAATAAAAGTAAACCGCCATCTACAAAACCACTGGCACTACCTATATGTGTCACTATTAATCTTCGCCCTTTACCTGAAGGTGCCTTGAACCCTGTTGAAAGTCCATCCAAAAATGCTTGTCGAAAACTTTTTACATTTTTATCTTGACATACTTTTGTTACAGTATATCCCTCGTTGACCCAAGTTTCGTCTAGATAATAAATATTCCTCCCTTCGTCACGGAATTTTCTAATTGATCTTAAGTAGGATCTTCGCCAACAAATAATTTCATCTTTATCGATAAGAACTGACATCCTGTTCTGCTTTTCCCAGCAAAAATTCAACTCTCGTAAGACGGCCCATAATTTGCTTCTACTGATTTTTGGCAAATCAGTAGAAGCACCTGAAACGAAATATTAGCACGCCCATGGCCGGTTCTTATCTCGGGGTTTTATTACTCTCTTTCATTTCCAAACAGACTATAGTGATTTTTTTCTTGGTAATTTCTGAAACATTAACATAAGAAAATCAAATTTACTGAGCGCCAAAACAAATCTGATCACGTGGGACTTTGGTATTTATGAAGGCATCTTGGCCTTATAACTATTGTACCTATATTTTAGATGAGATTAATTTCATTTTCAGCATACCGACGCCGGTGCAGACGGATCGGGGCAATCGCTGGTTTCCCCAGGATCATGCCTGGAAGAATTTCGACCGAAACCGTTTATAGAATGCCATGGACATGGAAGGTGCAACTACTTCACAACTTCAGTTTCATACTGGTTGGCCACGATTGAAGACTACGCTATGTTCAGGAAGCCGAGACCAGAGACACTGAAGGCGGGATATTTAACCTCAAAAATAAGCCGATGCTCTGTGTGCATAAGGAAAAGGTACATTGCACCAGCACCAGTACCAGAAACTGTGACTCCGCCTCCGCAATTCAGGCAGCCGCCATCCATAAACGAGAATTTTAGATCTGGTTATCGGTCAAGGTACAATTATCCACCTACTGGTGTGCAGAATCCTGACCCCAACCTGCAGTATAGAACCTTCTCGAAGAACACAGATGATCGCAGAAGACAAAGACTACGGCAGTATCGGAGAAGAAGGCCCCCGACCAACGTTAGTTGGACACCGAGTTATTAAGTAATACATGATTGTAATTATTTGTGTATAGTTTAATTTGTATGATACATAAGTGTATGTTTTCAAATTTGCTGAAATGACGAACTCTTGAAAGAACCAAGCGTGGCATTATCATCACTTAAATCTTTATGTAGGTAACTAGTTCAGTCGCGCGACATCATCAAATAGACTTTTAATTTTGTTGATAAATTTTCAAATTTAAACTCGTTAGAAAAATTATGTGTTAATATGTTCTCCTACACGTTTGATGGTGTCGGAAGATTAGGTTTTAAAATAATTGGTAACCCTAACCTTATCGATGTACTTTATTGTGTTCAAAGGTTCTTAGCATGTCTTCTTATAATATAAAAGAGAAGAGCCTTCATCTAGGAACTCTATAAGCTTTCTTTTTACTGTAAAAAGTCTATTATATTTTTATACGAAATGGTGCTAATTTCTTATAAGTTTTAGATTTACATTTAGCTTTACTCTTAATGTAATAATTTATGTGATCCGATTGGTGCCTTTTTTAAATTATAATCACTGCCAGATAAACGATTCTATACTGTAAACATTTGCGATAAATAAATAACTACTAAGTACAGTCATTTTTCAATGAAACTATAAGCGTTTTTTTTTATGAATCAAAAGTATTATTTACAAAAAATGTAAAAAGCGGGTAATTCGGTAGGTATTTACAATAAAGTAACGTTCCCAAATCGTCACAAAAATTTTCCTACCTCCCCTATTTTCGAGTGCTAAACACAAATCTGCAGTTATTTTTGTGCGGTCGAACCAAGTTTTCGAGAAAAAATTTAACTAACCTGGACATTTTGGACCATTTAGGACATCCTACTTCAGAGATAAGATGTCACTGAGGTGTACAGAATATATACGTCTATATAGATAGTGATTCATACATAATATAGAAACACTATTACCGTAAAGTGTATAAAACTTAAAATGATTTTTATAGCGGTTCAATATTATTTGCTTATGTTAAATGATGTGCCGCTCTCTTTGCACATCGATAGGATCTATAAGTCATAGACTGAGTTACACTGAACGCGATTTATTTCCTATCTCTGTCTATCGCACTTATTACAGATAGGGAAATGCTCTTTTTAGTGGGTGTAAACGGACGTACGTAGAATTCGAGTTAGCCGTAGTTAGAAACGTCAAACTATAAGCGCGCGCGAGGGTTTGCATATTCCGTGACTATAGTAAATTTATAAATTAAAAAAATACAATCGGGACGTTTTAAAACGTAGGAATAATAATTAAAATGGATCAAAGTGCCGGTTGTAGCAAACGGTCTGTTGCTCATAAACGCCCTAACCTATGCGATGCGGAATTAATAATGGTAAAAAACGTGTATAAAGGAATTCGGTCGCGAAATTCTAATACAAGTGTAAGTGAAGCTGTTGATATGTGTAGTTCGTTGACAAAAGTATCCGTTGCTACTGTTTATCGTGCCATAAAAAATAGTGTAGAAGTGAATCCAAAGAAGAAAAAAGTGGAAACACGAGGGAGGAAGAAAATAGAAGTCGACGTTGACGTGAAATACTCCATACGTAGGAAAATTCATGGATTTTTCTTTAGAAATGAAATACCAACGATAAAGAAAATTCAAGCTGCAATAGCTGAAGATAAGGATATTCCTAATTTCTCTGATAAGGTTCTTAGAAGAATAATGCGTGACAAGAATTTTCAATATTTGAAACGGAATCGGAATAGTATGCTCGTTGAAAAAGACGAAATTGTGGTATGGCGTCTATGGCGAAGAGAATACTTAGAAAAAATAAGAAAACTTCGTGCATCTGGTAAGAAGATATATTACATGGATGAAACATGGGTAAACGAATGTCATACTGTATCAAAAGTTTGGCAGGATGGTAATGTTAAGAGTAAGAGACAAGCATTTTTAGATGAATTTTCTACTGGATTAAAGGCACCTTCTGGAAAAGGACGAAGATTGTAACACATATTGGGAGCGATACGGGATTTTTAGAAAATGGTTTGCATGTATTTGAGTCACGAAGCCCAAGAGGGCATCGTTTTATAGAAAACACTTAAAATTTAAAAACAAAATGTTACTAAAATATTTTTGAAGTTTTCTCGAAACCCTCTAAAACCTCTAAAAATAATAAGTGTTATGTATTATTATATTTTTTCCATATTTTCTACATCTTGTTGCCTTTTGGCTTTTACGTATACACGCCTATGGATTTTCGATCCCCGCACGCTTCATCCTCCTTACTAGTCCAAAAGCTAGCGATGAATCACTATCTATAATTTCGGCCGTCGAGTATAGATAATAAAATGGAATATAAGTACCTACCACAAAACATAATATAACAAACGTACAGTGGACAGTGGACGTCCATTTATGAATATTATGATCACTTGATTACAGTAATAGGTAGGTAGGTAGACCACTAGGGACAGCTGAGTTTTCGCGTCAAGCTAGTTTCAGAATTCAATTAATTTATTTATATTAATAAACTCAATTCATTCATATTACATTTACTATCCGTGGTATTTTTACCTCGGGGTCTTCAGTTCTGTGTGGTTCTGTAATTAGCTTAGGAAACTAGTAGCAAATGATTGATTGCTCCGCCTATGGTGTCTACTCTCCCTGGCTCCGCCGAAAGTTCGAAATTTAACTAACCTTACTTATACACCGCACATCAACAGCTGATGCAAAATGTTCGTGTACTGTACTGTACCGAGTACCGACTGTACCCCAGAATAGAATTACTCTGTGATTTCTGTGACTGTACATTTTTCACTAGGTAAGTTTGTTCACTGATTCCCCTAGCAGGTTGCCAACTCATCTGAACAAAAATATTTAGTGTGTTTTACTGAAATATACTGAAGCTAATTACGAAACGCATCCTAAGCCAAGGCATACCGACCGACATTACTGATAAATCAGACAAATTGTCAGTGACAATAGAGTTGGGCAACTATAGACTTTTTTCTTTTTCAGATCATTAATTTGATCTTAGTTACCAAATAGTTTAAATTTCTTCACTCACTCATACTACATTCAACATCACTCGCGAAAGAAAACCTTATTTCGAACTCTTCTAGGACGACATGACAAAACCAAAACAAGCCTATTTATCAGTAATTCTTTACTGTTCTGTAAGCCTATGAATATGGCGGGATCTTTAAATTTCTTAGTGAAATTGTATTTTAGTACACGCAAAATAGACTACTGATGTGGATAATATGATACTAATTATATATAATATTTTTATAACAATTTCATTTTCAGAACACAATTATACAGATATAGCATCTTGTTCTGAACAAATAGCTTTGATGTTAGCGTTAGCAAAAAAATTTTTATCGGTAACCACCGTTCCTGTAGCTCAGGTCTTCCTTGCATTGATTTAAAACTTATTATTTTTTTTTTAAATATACTGCTCGTTTTAATAAGAAATCACTTTAATCGACTTTACAGAAGTAAATACTTATTTATTTATTATCACAAAAACTTGACAAAACGCTAACAGCTAAAATATTTATATTAGGAAAAATATATTATATAAGAAGTATGTCTACCAGTAACAAATAACGCTAATATATACATTTTCCTATTAAATTATTATTTTTATCGATGGAGTCTCCCAAATCACACACATTTTCAAATTGTTAATTGAGTGAAAACCTATCAAAATGCAGTCTGAAAAAATTAAATGGAACCCTGGGAGACAAAACGTTTTGAAATATTTTTTTTAAATTAATCTGGTATAATTTAAATGCTACATATAAGAGTATATAATTTGGTGGAAATATATTTTTGTAAAAAGTATACAATACTTATCAATATTTACATTTAGAAATACGTTGTTAAATAAATCCATGTGATAACTAACATCTATTTGTTTTAATTTAAGGAAAGAATTTATTTTTTAAATGAAATAATATCTCCAGATATACAACAAAATTTCGCATTTTATGACAGCATTTTGATTGGAATAAGTCCAAAGAAATTGAAACCTTTAATAAAAAATATAAATGTAAGCCCTTACAGAGTACACCTCCAATAATTCAGTCCCATACTTAATTTAATGTTTATTATTATTTAGCAAATCCATTCAGTTCAATGGTGCTGTCGGTGAATTGCATGTGACTGTCAATAATTTGGAATAACTCGGCCGGTTGTGGGATTCGACCCGTTTCAAGTTTAGACCACACGGGAACATCGTTAAGAGAAATTTCAAAGGCCCCAGACTGAATTAGTTGTCCTTCAACGAGGTTACCCAGGAAAAACAACATCATGCAAGCATAAAGCTTGTTTTCAACACACCAATTCCACCAAGAAGGAACCGGCTGATTTATATATTGGAATATATTTACTCCTCCCAGTATGCAGAATATTACAACCATTTTCAGAGCACCCTGTAAAAAAAAAGTAATGATACATTGGCCTCGACTAATCTTATGATCTAACGAATGATTAGAATAAAAATATTTTCTGGACTTACTATTGCCCTCGCTATAAACATATTAAGCCCAGGCGGATCATAGTTAGCCCCATCCACTAAAATATGTGGATATTTTTGATTAATTATTGTTGTATATTGATCAAACATTTTCCGATATCCACACGAGTAACTATAAACGATTTTATTAAGAACTTAATTAAATTAACCATTCATGATCTTACCAATATAAAAATTTTAAGGTAGGTGCCCCAATATTTTGACTAAGTTTAGATAATGGCACATCTTCAGCAGTCGGATTATTAATAAAAGCTAACAACCCAAAACCTCCAATAATTAATAAACAAGACAAACAGTGTACTTTACTTGGCCTGACCATTTTTAAGCGTGTTTTTCACTTTTGCCGTTTTTGCTTGTCAGCTGATAGTACAAATCATGCACACCACAAATCAGGGAGACTAGACAGCAGTGAAGTGACAGCACAAATTATCAATGCATTGCAATGTTATCCCAAAAACATTTTGTTCCTTCACGTTGTCTATTCTGAAACGCAAGTCCATAATCGCTAACCGTTTTCGAATAGCTGCTTTGTGCTTTGTCTGTATCAGTTGTCACCTTCGAGCATATAAAAGTGTGGCTGCGTGTGCGAGATCTTTATACATTTCACTCTAGCACGCACGCGATTGGTCGGAAATGAATGCTCCAACCAATTGCGACTCGCACACTCAGCCACACTTTTTGTAATGGCATGCTACGTCCAGTAGTATATGCTCGAAGGTTGTCTCCAAAATTAAGTTTAATGTTTTACAAAAAGAAAACGAGTTGTTAGTGTAACAATACCCCCCTGCCCGCTACCTTTTTCTGTTTCAGAGACAGCTAGGATCAAGAAACGAAGACAACGACACACACACTAACACACCCCCCATACCCTCCTTAACCCTCCCCTCCCGCGCTAGCCTAAGGGCCACCTTAGCAAAGCGCATCCCAGGCTGCATAGCCGCACTACCCTACCCAACCATACCACACATAAACATGACACTACCCCCGGGGTTTACACAGACGAGCCGGCGAAGCAAGAAGAGCGCCAGAAGAAAGGGCCCTAGCCGGCGGGGCCCAGCCAGGACAAAAGGAGGTCCCACAAAGCGCCTACACCGGCCGCATTTGCGGTCGGGGTAGACGACGGATGGGGCCCACCTACGAAGGCTGTCCAGGCCTACACGAGATGAGGCAGGATAAAGAGGGATAATCCCCCTCGATCCCAAATCATTGAGGCCAATTTCTAG